CTCCCATATCTTCTACGCTCACATTGTCTGTCCTCATATCGCATTCAATAGCATCCCTCCATCTCTTTATTGGCCTTCCTCTACCTCTTCTTGCTTCAACATTCATTTCTATAACTGTTCTTACAGCTTCCAATTCTTCACTCCTCATAACATTAACACGGTTTACTGTGTCAACGCACTTAGTCAGATAACTAAGATGAACTTGGTATGTTTATTTATAAAACTGGTAGGGCTTATCAATTTAAGATCTATAGCGTTTGAGTCTGTTATAATTTTTTCTTAATAAACCCTAAACTTTAAAGAGCCGTGGAGCACTTAATATTAAATAAAATAAAATATTTGTTTTACAAAATTTTTTATTTATTGAACTGAATCTAATTGTGTAAAAAGAAATAGGGCTGCCATTTGAAAATATGAAGTTAATACAAGTTTTAAACATAACGGATGATGGCAGAAATTTAAAGTTTCTTGTGAAACACCTCATCAAAGTTCCAAAATGATTAAAAAAAAATTGTTTATAACAATTGTATTTTTTAAGATATTACGTGAGACAAAGTTAGCCTATCACTCTGTATTTTTAAAAAAATTATAAATGAAATACTATTAATACATTAAACACATATATATTTATTTATATAGATGAATTATAACATTTAAAAGGCCAAATATAGTTGTTAGGTCAATTTTTAAAATTGTAATGAGGATAATTCTGTAATAATTTTTCAAAAGTTGTTATTACAATTTTAGCATTTTTTCAGGATAGCAAAAACAGTATCAAATATCAATAATTCCATAATAAGGCTCGGATTACTACAAAGAAGAGCATTTGTTTTGGTTTCCCAGATTGCTGTCTCTAAATACTTGCACTACTAGTTTTTTATTAGAAAGTAGTAACTTTAATATAATAAAATATCATAAATAATCGAAAGGATTATTAATCAATAAAACAAACAGCATAACTTACTTTTGGTTCTGAACTTGGTTTAAATTTCGTTTTAATACTTGTAAAAAATGTCGTTGAACATTCTTTTACTTTTTCATAAAGAGGCTTGCCTTCTTTATACCAGTCATACAAATTAGCCAATTTTACGAGAATAAAATTTGTCATTTCATTAACTACTTTATCCAATTTTTTTTCTTTATTCAAAAATTGTGATCCAAGTGTGAAGAGCTCATCCTCGATTTTAGTCTTATAATCATTTTCTTAAATATTATACAATTTAAGTAATTTTTACTATAAAAAATATTGTCATAAGACGGGAAATAAATAGTATATTTGTAGTTTAATAAATTTGACCTACTTAATACAGATCTCAATTCAAAATCGTGAATTCCTATACTGTCCAAAGAATTCATAAACGTAGTTACATCCTCTTGTATACCTTCTTTCGATATTACTTCTTTATCTGCAACTGACCTCAAAATCTACGTGAAATAATAATATAGTACATCAATTAAAATTAGTATTCACATAATATGTATTAAATATATATTATATATTTAAGAATATTAATGATATACTGAAAAAGTTGGACATCTTACATTTAACATCTTTTAATTTACTATTTTCTTTAGTTAATCATTTCTAAATTCAATTTAAAATAACTGTGAATACATATATTATTAGACATTTATCAGGTATAAAACTTAAAAATAGTTTTAACTCGTACCATACAAGTAGACTGTATTTCAAAACGATAATAACTTACGAGATAAAGTTTCAAAAGTTGATTCAGAGATTTCAGCTCTAGTACGAAACTATTTTAAGTGCATTTGTATCGTACACAAATAATTTAATGAGATTTTAATATTCTAATGAAATTTTAAAACGGAACAATTTTAAAATTAAAATTTATAAAAATTATAAATCCATTAAGTTTTTAAATAAAAGTATATTTCTATTTTTTGCTGATTTTTAATTATAATATCATTTGAGTTATTTTATTTTAATATAGTACAGTGAAGCAATTTTTTTATTTCTATAGAAATTTGTACTTAAAAAACACAACCTTTTAGTGTTCTTATAACTATGCTTTAGAAAGTATTTATAACTCTGAAAAAATATTTTCTTAGTGTTATTACTAAAGAGTTCTAGCTGAAATATTTTTGGTACTCACTCCAAACTAAATCAATTTACCAACATATTTAATAATTCCCTGTAAGCTGGTGATTAAATCCCAAATATAGGACCAGGATTTGTAATTTCTTTAGATTATTACGTTATTTTTTAAAGAAAAGTAAGCCAGAATAATTAATTTTCCCAGGCAAAATTTTTTATTAATTCACTTTACTTTAAAAATTTTCATTTTAATACTTAAAAAAAAATTTCTATTTAATGCAGTTCTTAAAGAATTTATTGAATTCATTTTATGTTCCAGACTATTTATCACACCATTAAATAATAGATTAAGTTTATTGTACACTTAAAAAATAAGAATATTATTGGTAGGCCATATGAATGAATATNTTTCCCTGAATAACTGGTTATTTAAAATCATCATTCAAAGGCAACACAGTGTAATCATATAAAAAAATTCCCTCGTTCCCCGTAAACGGAGGAAATCCACCAAAAAATTACAAATTTAAAAATCGCTAATTTTCGACATTTTTTAAATTTTTTTTACTTAAAATTGCCATAACTTTTTTAAAAATGACCGAATCAATATAATTTTTTTTCTATTAGATACCTTAGGTATTTACCTATAATTATATATATTTTTGTGAACATTTTACCATTTACAAGCCCACAGGAAGGGTCTCAAAATGGTAACTTTTTTACAAAAAATTAACTTTTTCATCTTAACTTTTGAAAGTATTCCGGAAATACTGATACTTTTATATATATATTAAATTAAAGCTTATGTAATATACTTTAATTTGAAAAAAAAAATTTGACCTCTGGTTTTGTCTTTGTGGTAAAAATGACTACCATATTCAAAAACATGCTATTTTTGTGTTAAAATTCTGGGTTTTGTATTTTATTTTAAAAAACCTGACAAGGGGAGTACAGATTTTCATAAATATTATATAAATTAAAATTAATATAGCATAAAAAGTTAAACTTATTTAAATTTGTTTGCTTCTTTTAAGTAGAGAAAAATAACTTTGAAATTTGAATTAGCTTAAATAGCCACTTTTTTCGAATGGCAGTAGCTATGTACGGTTGCCGAGTTAGTAAGACTTATGTTTTACACGCTTGGGGTACGAGGTTCCAACCCGCGTATGGCAATGAATTTTTTGCATTTTTTCTAAATTCTTTTTAAGTTAGAATAAATTTTTAACTCGTTTGATTTTTATCTCATTTAGATTCAATAACTTCAATAAAGATCAAGGATCCCATCACTGTAGTCGCCACTTTCGAAAAGAAATTTTTTATTCATATTAAAATTATTTTACTATATTTTAAGTTTTAGCTTCTATGCAAAGCTGAGAAGATATTTTTTTGTAACTATCATTTATTTTCTCTGCTCTTATTGACCTAGTTTTTTCAACGATACGTCAAATGACTACAATTCGTATCTAGTTGAAGATATTACCTTTAAAAATTGAAAAAAAATTCTAATTTATCAATGAAACTGTTACTTATCCCATGTTCTCCATACGGACAATTAAAATCATTCATTTCTAATGTTTTCAAAATATTTATTGACGAATCAAGTTTGATATGATAATTTGATATGATAGGTTTCAAATAAAAAATTAAATCATTTTACGTTGTAATTTAATAATTTTTTATTCTATTTGTGTGTGCTACTACTAGACAATAGTAGTAGCAAACTATAGCAACATGGTCCATGTTGCTATATAAATCATTAATAAAAAAAATTATTGTTAGTTTCTCCTGAATTAACAATGGATTTTTACAATTATAATCAAATTTTATTATACGCTCAATTGAGTAAATCTTTTTAACAACTTTGTTTTGATTGGTTCATTTAGTTAAAGTAAATCATTAAAATTAATTAAGTTCTGAATATTTCAATTACAGAATATTTTTAAACACCAAAAGTTATTAGGAAATGATTACTATTACTTCTAATTAAGTTATCTATTACGATAAAAATACAAAAAAATATTGAGCTATTCGGATAAATTTACTATAAATAGTATTTATAAAACTTCCTAACTGCATAGTAATCTTAACGATATAATTTTTTTAATTCTCATAAAATGTTCTATTTAATGATGTTAATTTCAAACTTGCCAGTTGAGCTAAAAGTTATGGTAAAATAAATACATTTTTTTTTATTATAAAAATTCACAAAAATCAACTTTAAACGATTAAAAAAATAGGTTAAATATTTTCCTTATTTTTAACATATAATCAAAATCAGTATTAATTTAAAACAATTTTTTTTTGTTCTTAATTATTTTTTTTTATATGTAAATACTTATTTTTTAATAATAAGTAATAATATTGAAACTCAGAAGTAATAGAAAAAGTTTAATTGCACATTTGAAAACATTGCGAATAAATTTATTTAGAAAAGTTTATTTTTGAATCTGATGAAAGTTTTTATTTTTATAATATCTCCGTAAAAATTACAATATTATTGAATATCAATTTCATACTAAATTGAATTACTATAATTATTATGTATTCATATATTATAATTATAAATCGGGATAAAATTAAGGGAATAAGAGTTATGGTTGCTTTTGAAATAATCTATCAATCTCTTAAAATTAAACACTATCTCTAGATTTGCATCGAAGCATTTCTAATGATAGTGATTTTAATCACTGTCAGATATCATCTATACTTGTCCCATCTATGCCTCGTCCACGCAGTGCCGCGATCCCACTGTGCTACTGTTTTTTTTATAATAAATTGATAGGAAAATAATTTAAACATTAAATTTATTGTCAACTTAGCAACAAGTTTTTAGACAAATAATACTTACTAAAAATGTTCCGACTAAATTTAATATGATAAATTTCATTTTTTTACTGATAATAACCTAAAATAAAAAATTTATTGTTATCTAACTTTCATCAAAACTAACAATAGGTCCTCTTAAAACAAGGGATTTACGTACGCAATGTATAAGGGCATTGAAAATGAGGGGTGACATATAGATATAAATGATCCATCATAAAATTAGTCGATTAATAATTTCTAAAATTTGTACATTTACATTAGGGCGATGTCATGATTAAAAACAATGATTGTACGAGATTATAATTGTATTATTGTACAAACATCAATAATTTTATTTCTAAAACTTAATCACCCAAATTGAACCTCAGACATCTCATTCACTGTTTTTAGACATAGCAATAATTATAAAATACTAATTAAATTAATAACAAGCTAATAGACTAATTCTATAAGAGATTTAAATATTGACATATCTCTAAGATGGTTAATTAGTCGTTGACCACTAAAATTGTTCTAAAATAATGATAACTCTGAGAAATTTTTTCTGCTTGTTTAAGTTGTTTATTTCTTAATTTATAAGTGGTTAAATGTTTTCTTTGTTTATTGTTTATAAATTACAAGGGTGTCACTTTAGTTTTTTTAAATAGTAACATACATATTTTACTAGTTCAAATATTAAAAAAATGATTCAGCTAAAAAAATGACTGGTCGATAACAATTTTGGTACAAGTTGTTCGGGAATTATCACTTTTTTATACTTAAATGGGAAAAGAAACGTAGCACGGTAATACATAAATATTAAAATAATATAGCTACACCTCGCCGGAAGACATAATCTAAAAACATTCGAAATACTATTTTAAAAATTGTTATCAACCGGTTATTTTCTTAATTATCCTTTTCTAATATTAAAACTAGTAAAATATGTATGTTACAGTTAAAAGAAAAAAGTAAATATTCTTATAAATGATAAGGAATTGACCAAAAACATATCTAACCACTTATAATTTGAGAAATAAATAGTAAAATTATAGTAAAATAAAAATTATAATATAATTCATATCATAAAAAACAGCGTTGAGTTTATAACAAATAGATTTTAATCTGCAAATTTTTCTTCGTTTTATTTATGTAATTTTAATTCAAAATAAATTTTATATTAACCACTCAATATATCTTATACTTATAGAAAATTATAGTTTTAACTTACAGAGTGCTTGATTTGTTGAAAAAATATGTTTATAATGACTATATTACTTTTATTAAAACTTTGTGTTTTATATATATAATTTTTTTCAACCATTAAAATAATAATTAATATTTAAATAAGTATTTATAGTCATCTATAATTACATGATATGTACTGAAATAGAATTATTTTATTATTAATAACTAAGTATTTAATCAAACCATATAAACATTATAGGAATTTGATTTTTTATGAGATTTAATGGCTTTGACAACTTAAGCCATTAAAAGGATAAATTACAAAAACTTTAAGGTTTAATCAATAAGCATTTTTAATTTAATATTTTTTTTNAAAGGATAAATTACAAAAACTTTAAGGTTTAATCAATAAGCATTTTTAATTTAATATTATAGATATTAGTTTACTTGTTTAAAATAAATATTTGATTATACTTTTAGCAGTAATGTAAATTGTATTATATACGTGTATTAAATGTAAAAAATGATAATACCATTATTATTGTAAAAAATATAAATTAAATTATAGTAATAAAATAAAATTAGTACAAAAATATTAAGCATAACCACTTTTATATTTAAACAAAATCGTCAATCATATTGTTTTATACTTTATATATTACTCACATAACAATTTAAAATTTTTGTTATTACTATAATTTTTAATTCTTGATAACAATATTCGGGCAATATTTTTTGATAACTCTTATATAATTCTAAAACATTACGGCAATACATAATATAATAGCAGAAAATTATTTATTCGCAATCTTTAAGTTCTGAAATTTATTGTAATCTATTAATCTATTACTATAATATTATATTCAAAATACTACCATCATTTGGTAGTTATTTTACAACAATAGTATGTACTCTGTAATATAGTCTATTATTTTTAAAGCTGGAAGTAAAACGTTTTTATAATATTTGGTTTAATTGTAATTTCCTGATCGATTGTCACTAGACCAGGAAGTTAATTTTATAAACATTTATACAAATGGTTGTATTATTAACTTTGTATTCGTAAAAGGAAAAAAACAAAATATTTTATTATATATGACGAAATGGAATAAATTGTAAAGGGGAGAGTACCTCGGGAGTACTGTGGTAATCTCTTTTCGTGTATACGTTTTGACAATAAGTCTTTTCTTTCGTGCATTGATTTACTGTACTTTAATTGTATCTCTGTTGTGTACGTTTCATATTGTTTAATTATATTATTAATAATTACGTTTATGTTATTATTGAACTTTTATTAC